TCTATCTATCTATCTATCTATCTATCTATCTATCTATCTATCTATCTGTCTGTCAAACATGGACAAGATAACAAATATAAGTATGAACATAAACAAGAACAAAGGGAGTAAATACAGATCAATGAGGACAATAAGACAGGGATGGTAGGCCTGCTGGTGCACTTATGCACGCCCCCTTTAAGGACCTCTTAGGAACGGGGTGAGGTCCATGGTAGACAGTTGGAGGTTGAAGCTGGGAGGGTTCGAGGCTGTGACAATGGAGTCGGGTGGGGCGTTCCAGGCGTTGACCACTCTGTGGCTGAAGTCGTATTTTCTGCAATCGAGTTTGGAGCAGTTTACCTTGAGTTTGCATCGGTTGTTTGCCTGTGTATTATTGTGGTTGAGGCTGAAGAAGTCATTGACAGGCAAGATGTTATAGCAGACAATTTTGTGAACTATGCTTGGATCGGACCGCAGGCAGCGCAGTTCTAGATTGTCCACATTCTCTCTCTCTCTCTCTCTCTCTCTCTCTCTCTCTTTCTTTCTCTCTCGGCTAACTTTTCATCCTAATCAGTTGCACCAGAGCCAGCTGGAGCTTCGAGAGGTGAGACTGTCCTACCGGCAGCTGCAGGTCAAGATGGAGGAGCTGAACGAGGAGCAAAGCCTCCAAGCCTTCAACTCCTCCAGGATGTCTTTGCTGTCGGAGATCGAGCAGAGTATGGAAGCAGAGGAACTGGAACAAGAGCGAGAACAGGTATACGGAGCAGTGGGTAGTGCAGAAAACTTCAGAAGCTATGCCAGAGTAGGACAATTCCTTGAGCTTCTAGGGTTGTCCTTCAAATGAACATTCTTAAGATGGTCAGATTCCAACAGATCGAAGCTGGAAGTTTCTTTTGGGGGGGAGGGGGAGAAAAGAACTTTCTAAGAACCTGTAGGTAATTCGATCCTGCAGATGCAATCCTGGGTGTGATGACCCAAGGTGGGATACAAAATAAACACAGTCACCAAAAAGCAGGTGAAGCCCCTTTTATTCCTTCATTTTGATTCCAAGCTCCGAATATCTTTGACGGAAGACAAAAAAAACTCCCACACAAACAGTTACAAGGAGGAGGAAATGCTGTTTAAATTATAAAGAGTTAAAAAACAACACAAACCAGGCAAGATAAGGGCTTGAAGATGTCCACAGATATCAGAACACACACTGGGAAGGACGCCAAACTCAGAGAGGAACAATAAACTAGAGCTATTTCCATGCTTTGTTTCCAGCACTCGCCTGTAGGCATGTCCATCCTCTTAGCCAGTTGTCACAGCTGCAGCCCATGAAGAGGATCAAGGCCCTCTCCTCCCCAGTAGACCACGTCTCTCCCTTATCCTCTCCTCCCTGCGTGCCCTAGGATGGAGAGGGGATGGGCCTGGGTCCTCCTCTGGCTGCCCAGCCTGCCTCTGCCCTTCCCCAGCCTCCGGAGCCACACTTCCACTCCCTGTCGGCTCTTCCTCCTCTCCCGCAGAGTCAGTCTCCACTAGGGGCATGACACTGGGTTTAAAATCTATCCAATGGGTGTCGTGGTATTCTGGTCCCTTCACTGTACATTTTTTTGTTATTGTGTTATCACAGTTGAGGCTGCAGCTTTGGGAGGCCTATTGCCAAGTCCGTTACCTGTGTACGCACCTCAGAGGGAACGACAGTGCGGATTCTGCCGTCTCCACGGACTCTTCCATGGACGAATCTTCAGAAACCTCCTCAGCCAAAGACGTTCCGGCCGGCAGCTTGAGGGCTGCACTCAGCGAATTGAAGAGGCTGATCCAAAGCGTGATTGATGGCACGGATTCCCCGGTAAGCGAGGTTTGGGGGTTACCACTATCACCCCATTCCTAACAGTAGCATTTAGGCTTATATCATCCTCTTCTTTTAACGACCCTGTAATCCCTTGTGCGGGTGGAGTTGGGGCAACTCAGTGGAGCTAGCAGAGTGCTTTACTGGCCAGATGCCCTTCCTGTCACCAATGTGGAGTTTTGTTCAGCAGATAAATTCTCATTGTGCCCAGAGAGAGAAATATCTGCCTCTACCTAGGATCGAACTCGCAGCCTCCTAATTGTGAGGCAACCTTGACAGAATAGCAATAGCCCTTAGACTTATATGCCACTTCGCAGTGCTTTGCAGCCCTCTCTAAGCAGCTTACAGAGTCAGCCTCTTGCCCCCCAAATAATCTGGGTCCTCATTTCACCAACCTTGGGAGGAGGGAAGGCTGAGTCAATCTTGAGCTGATCAGGATCGAACTGCTGGCAGTGGGCAGAGTTAGCCTGCAATACTGCTTTCTAACTACTGCACATGAAGGAAGGAAGGAAGGAAGGAAGGAAGGAAGGAAGGAAGGAAGGAAGGAAGGA